CCCCCGGGGGGCTGTGGGCCTGCTGGCCCCGCCGTGCCCCCGCCGCTGCCTCGGTGATGCTGAGGAAGGCCTGGGTGGCCGAGGCCCAGTGCCACTTGATGTAGGCGATGTAGATGAACAGGCACGCGAGCAGCCCCAGCGGGTACGCCACCCTCGGCACCCTCAGGTTCCCATTATTCGGTATTTTTCTCATCTCCGTCTGCTGAGGACGGGGCCGCGCCGCTGGTGGAAGGGGACAGGAAGGAAGAATGCATGAGGCTGCAAAGCTCCCAGTGGCTCACAAGTCCCTGTCTCGGGGACAGGGCCTCTCCAGACAGAAACTGCGTTTTCTCCAGTGGGATCAGACACTTCCTGTGGGGAAGCCCCACTTGACAGACCAGGAACCGAGGCTCGCAGAGTCCAAGGCCACTGGTCCTGCAGGTGCTGGCCTGGGCCAGCCCCGCAGCCCCTCTGAGCGCCCTTCCAGGCAAACGTGTGTGAAGGCAAACTTGGGTGTCCCCAAGCCCTTCAGGGTCACAGAAATGCGTACCCACCACCTTCCTTCGGTCCTCACTTCCCTCCTATGCTAGCAGCTCAGTCTTCAAAGGTTTAAAATCTTGTTCCCTGGGAACCACAGAGCCACAGGCAGATCAGAGATGGCTGGTTCTCAAAGCTTCGCAACAGACACAGCCTTTCATTCGTCCCCCTGTTTCCGCCGAGAAGGGAATGGTGCCCGTATGCTTCTGGAGCCCATAAAAACTTGACCCGAGTAGCAAAATAAGTAATCAGCACCGGGGTCTGGGTCAGCGCCCCTTGGAAGAGAGGCATTCGCTCAGCTTCCATCCGAGGACAAGAAAAGGCGCCGGGCTCTTGGTGGGCGGGGTGGGGGAGCGGGCTCGCCATCTGTCCATCCACCCCACCCTGTCAGTCGGGTAAGTGGAGTGACGCCCCGGGGGCAGGACACAGGGAGATGCTGGGTGGAAAGCGTGTGATCGTGTAGGGTGACCGACTGGCAGGGGCTGGCTGTCTGGGGCACACAGGATGTGCGCTGGCCCAGGACACGGGGTGGCAGGAGTCATGGCCCTGGAGGACAGCGAGACTGCACTCTCTGGGGGCAGGGCGGGGAGTCGGGGCCGGGCCTACAAGTGCAGGGGGCACCTGCCAACCTTGAGGCCATCTGCATGGAGGGGACATGGAACAGTGCCCTCAGGGGCTCAGCCCGACAGCCACACCAGGACACCCCAGGCCCCTGCAGCACTGCCCACACCCAGGCAAGCCTCCCAGACCCTGCTCCTGCCTCACCTGCCCTCAGGAGCCCCCAGTGCTCCCAGCACATGCTGCCCCAGCGTGACCCCTACCAGCCTCTGCACTGCACCCCTCCCTCTCTGGCCCTTGCTTCCTCTGCTGAGAACCTCCCTGCCTCCGCCCTTCACGTGCACTGTTAACCATTCCCAGAACGCCTGGCCACCACCCTGGCCAACCTTGTCCTCATCCCTCGGCTGGAAGGCTGTTGTCCCCACCTTTCCTGATGCCCCCAGCTTAACCGACCCCACCCTGTGCTCTCCCCGAGCTCGCTGCCCTCATCTGACCTGTCAGGGTGCCTGTTTCTGGGATCCGTTCCTGAAGGTCGTGCCCCTCTGACCATGAGCCCCAAGCGCAGGGCCTTAGCCTGTCCTGTGCTGCCACCGCCCAGCAGGCCTACGGGCCCAGCGGGAGCCCCGCGGGGAAAACGTCGCAGTACGGACAGCGGGTGGGTCTGTGGTGCTCCCCCACCCTCGTCCCACTGCCCTGGCAGTGGCCCCCCAGGCCCTCCCTCACACCGAAGGGCTGGAGCAGAGCTTCCAGCAACATTCCAACCCGCCTCATGGCTGCCTGGGCCAAGAGGCTGAGGGTGGGGGTGCGAGGGACACCCAAGGCCCGAGGGGGAGCTCAGGTGGAGCGCTGCGACAGAAGACCCGTGAGAGCGGCCACCCGTGCGGGGGGCCAGGGAACAGCACACACACAGGCTCCGAACAAATCCCAGCAAGGCCCAGGCCTTCCCAAGCTGACCCCCGGCTCAGACACCCCCTGGCAACTTGGGAGGGTCGTTCAGGGCACAGCCCCAGTCTGCAAACACCGAGAGAGGCAGCTGTTTTTTTGAATGTTTAATGAAAAAAAAATCACAAGGCATACAAAGAAATGGGGAAACATGGCCCCCTTGCATGAAGAAAAAGCAGTAGAAACTGTCCCTGAAGAAACACGGGCTTAGGATGTTGCAGATGAAAGACTTTAAACGACCGACCGTCTTAGACATGCTGAGAAAATGAAAGGAAAACACAGAACTAAAACGCATTACAAAAACAACGTATGACAACAAAAAGATAGGAACCATAACGAAGAGCCAAGCAGTGATCGTGGCGCTGAGCAACACAGCGACCAAGTGGGAAAATTCACCAGAGGGGCCCGACGGCACACGGGGCAGGGGGAGGATGCACCTGAGCACAGGGCACTGAGGTTACTGAGCCAGAGCCGCGGAGACAAGGCTGAAGCAAAGCGAAGAAACGAACACAGCCCCAGATAAGAAAAGCTGAGGGAGCTCCTCACCAGCAGACCGCCTGTGGGAGCCGCCGAGGGGAGTCCCTCGGGCCGAAACAAACGGATGCCACGGAGTCACTGGAAGCCGTGAGAACACGTGAAGATCTCCAGTTAAGGTAAATTCACGGATACACAGAAAAACCAGTTGTAACTGGAGCTGCAACTCCCTTTTATTTTCCAGAGGATTGAAAAGACAAATGCACAAAAATAATCGTAAGCCTGTGTCTCTGGAACACAAACGCGTGCCCTGTGACACTGACAACAAAGTGGGGAGGGGAGACCGAGCACGTGTGATTCACGTTAAGCCGGTGTCAAACCTAAACTGCCACCACACCAGGGTGTAACCACAAGGAAGGGGTCTCACGCACCCAAAGGGAATGAGGCAGGACTCAGAGTTGCTCCCACAAGGCACCAGTTAACAAAGAGGAAACGCCTGCAGGAACTGAGGGCTAAAGAAGCTACAAGACACACAGAAAATTACGAAACGGCAAAAGTCAGTCCTCTCCCTTCAGCAATTAGCTGAGCTGATAAAAAACAGAATTCAGCTTCGTGCTTCTACAAGAGACTCACTTTAGGTCTAAGGACACACACAGACTGTGGAAAGACTCCGCGAAAACAGTAACCGACAGAGCGGGGACCTGTATACTACATCAGACATACCGGACTTTAAGTGAAAAACGGCCCCAAGAGACAAAAAAAGACGCTGCATAATGACAAGAGGGCCAGATCACCAAGTAGATGTACAACTGTAAACATGGATACAGCAGCTCCTTGACATCTGAAGCGAACAGAACTGGAAGGACAACAGCCAGCCGCGCAGTGACACGGGGGCCTGGATATCCCACTTCCAGCAAAGCACAGAGAAGTCAGGCAGGAGGTCAGCACAGACACAGGACACTCTACCAGCAGCAGCAGCAAACTCGTTTTTCTCAGGTGCACATAAAACATTCTCCAGGACACGTGACACGTCGGGCTACAAAGCATGTCCTACTAACGGGAAGAGGTCAAAATCAAACACAGCATCTTTTCCAATCACAACGGAATGAAACTAGAAATCGAGGGCAGAAAACACCTGGAAAATTCCCCAATATATGGAAATCAAGCAACACACTCTTGAACAGCCAATGGATCAAAAAAGAAGTGAAAGCGGAAAGGAGAAGATACTTGTGACAGATGGAGATGAAAACACAACATACCAAAACGTACGGGACGCCGAGAGGCAAGTTTTCAGCTGCAAATGCTTACATTAAGAGAAGATAAAGACCTCAGACTAACAACCTACCTTAACGTTAAGGAACTGGAAACAGAGCAAACTAAACAAAGCTAGAAGGAAGGAAACAATAAAAATTAGAGCAGGGTAAATAAAACAGAGAAAATCCCTGAGCCCAAGAGTTGGTTCTTTGAAAAGAGCAACCTAAGTGACAAGACTTTGGCTAGACTGACGAAGGTATAAAGAAGGAATATTCAAGTAACTAAAATCAGAAGCGGAAGAGGGAACATTACTATCGATTTTATAGAGTAAGTATGACTGAGAGTACCATGAACAACTGTGTGCCAATGACTGGAGAACCTGGATCCAACAGACAAACTCCTAGAAACACACAAACGACCAAAATGAATCACGAGGAAACAGAGTCTGAACAGCGCCACAGCTCGAAAGACTCAATCAGCAATCAAACCTCGCAGCAAAGCAGAGCCCTGGACCAGATGGTTTCACTACTGAGTCTACCAAACACCTGAAGAATTAAAAGTCCTTTTCATAATCTTCCCAAAAACTGAAGACAAGGGACAACTTCTTAACTCATCTTTGAGGCCAGCATCACCCCATATCAAAGCCAGACAAAGACACTACAAGAAAAGCAAATACACATCAATATTTCTTATGAATGACAATATAAAGATCCTCAACAAATAGCATCAAACTGAACTCAACAGCATAGTAAAAGGGTTACACACCATGTCCAAGTGGAGTTATTCCCGGAATGCCAGGTGATTCACTCCATGAAAACCTACCCAGGTAACATACCACGTGAACAGAACAGGGAGGGGAAAAAACCACACTATCTCAACTGGTGCAGAAAAAGTTTAATAAAATCTAATGCTTTTTCATAACTAAGCCCCCCAACAAACCAGGACCAGAAGGAGACTACCTCACCATAATAAAAGCCGCGTGTAACCTGCGGCCCAGCGCGGAAGGCTGAAACCTTTACTGTGAGGGCGGGGTCAAGAAAGGATGTCCGTTTCCACCACTTCCATTCAACGAAGTGTTGGAAATTCTAGCCAGGCCAATCAGAAAAGAAGAATAAAGAAAAAGGACCTAAGTTAGGAAGGAGGAAGGAGGATGAGCTGTTTGCAGACGATGTGGGCTCACAAAGCCCACCGCATTTCACTGTGCTTGCTTTATTGCACTTTGCAAATATCGCATTTTTTTTTAAACAAACTGAAGATGTGTGGCAACCCTACACTGTACAAGTCTGTTGGCACCATTTTTCCAACAGCCATAATGCTATTATTGCACACTTCACAGTACAGTGAAAACATAACTTTCATATGCACTGAGACAAAAACCACTGTGTGAATTATTTTATTGTGATATTCCCTCTATTGATGTGGCTCGGAAATGAACCCACAATATCTCTGAGGTACATTTGTATGTGGAAAACCCTAAAGATTCCACATTGGGCAGAAAGAGGGGAAATAACTGTTGGAACTAATAAACAAATTCAGCAAGATTATAAGATACAAATCAATACACAAAAATCAGTTGTTTCTATACACTACAAGGAATAATCTGAAAAGGAAATTGAGAAAACAATTCCATTTACAATACCATCAAATAATCCCATTTATAATCCCATCAAACAATTCTACTTACAAAAGCATCAAAAAGAATAAAATACTTAAGAATAAAGTTAACCAAGAACATGAAAGACTCGTACCCTGAACACTACAAAACATTGTTGAAAGAAATTAAGAGTCAAATAAACAGAAAGATAGCCCATGTTCATGGATTGGAAGACTTAATATTGTTAAGATCTCAACAGCATCCAAAGCAATTCACAGATTCATGCAATCCTTATCAAAAACCCAACATTTTGTTTGCAGAAAAAAAAATCCTAAAATTCACATGAAATTTCAAGTGACCCCAAATCACCAAAACAATTCTGAAAAAGAAGAACAAAGTTGGAAGCTTCACACATTCAGATTTTTAAAACATATTACAAAGCCACAGTAATCAACACAGTGTAGCAGTGGTGTAAAGACAGACACAAAGACCAATGGAACAGAACAGAGTCCAGAACAGACTGCCACATATTTGGCCAAGTGATCTTTGACAAGGGTACCCAGACCATTCAGTGGGGAAAGGACTGTTTTTTTAACAAGTCGTATTGGGAAATCGGGATATCCACATATAAAACAATGAAGTTGGATCCTGACCTCACACCACATACAGAAATAAACTCAAAATAAAGAGTTAAATGTAAAATCTAAAAACTATAAAACTCCTAGGAGAAAACATTGGGGAACAGCATCATGAGATCAGATTTGGCACTAATTTCTTTAAGACACCAACAGCACAGGCAACAAAAGCAAAAATAGACAAATAGGACTATACCAAAATTAAAAACCACAGTGCAGCAAAGGACACTGACAACAGAGGAAAATGGCATCCCTAAGAAAGGGAGAAAATGTTTGCAGGTCACAGGCCCGACACAGGGTGACTATCCAGGACATAAAGAAGACTCCTAAACTCAACAACAGCAACAACCACCACCAACCCAATTCAAAAACAGGCAAAAGACCTGAACAGACATCTCTCCACAGAAGATACTCAAATGGCCAACAAGCACGTGAAAAGAGGCTCAGCATCACTAATGACCAGAGACACACAAAAACCAGTTACACATCACCTCACACCGACCAGGACAGCCACCACAAAAAGACAAACAGTAACAAGAGTTGGGAAGAACATGGAGAAACTGGAACTCTTCTACAGTGGTGCAACCACTACAGCAAACAGTATGGAGGTTCCTCAGAAAACTAAAAACAGAATTATTATATGATCCAGCAAACCTATTTCTGGTATTTAGCCAAAAGAACTGAAAGCAGGGTCTTGACATGTCTGCACACCCAAGTTCACTACAGCACTGTTTACAACTGCCAGGAGGTGGCAACAGCCCAAATGTCCATCCACGGATGACTGGAGAAAGCAGCTATGTGCATAAACACAATGGAATCTTACTCAGCCCTAAAAATGAAGGCGCCTCGGACACGGGCTACAACATGGTTGAATCACTGTGCTAAGTGAAGTAAGCCAGTCATAAAAGCACAAATTCTCCACTTACACAAGGTACCTAGAGAAGCCAAATGCACGGAGACCAAAGGAAGCACAGTGGCTCCAGGGGCCGGGGGAGGCAGGGGGGAGGGGTCACGGTCTGAGGGGACGGGTCCAGTCTGGGAGACGAAAGAGCTCTGCAGGCGGCAGGCGGCAGGGGCGCAGCAATGCATGTAACGCTGCTCAACTCCACACTTAAAACTGGCTGAGATGGTACCGTTTACTTCACGTGTGCTTCACCCCACCACACACAGAGTCCTTTAGTTGCTCTAAGGCCAGGCAGGTCACATAAATGAGATTTGTGGGCGCAGGACTAAAGGCACTGATGAGACGGGGAGAATTCTCATTTTACATCAAAATCAAGCTGTTTTAAAGTTACCAATCTCATCTCACCTCCTGAGCAAAGAGACAAGTCCTACCTTACTGAGATTTCTCCTGCCTTAAATTTTTCCCCCTTTGCTCCTTTCTCTGCACCCCTGCAAAGCCCACCCAAGATGCTAACTGCAGCTCTGGGCCCCGGCAGCTGGGGGCCCCTCCTCTGGGCTCCTTGGTGCTTTACACTACGCCCCTGAGTAAGCTGTCAGTGGAGCGATTCACTTGTGCCTCCCTTCCCTCTGGTTAGATGCCTCCCTGGAAGCAGGGACCATCCACTCATCCTGGGTCTCCCACTGCGACACAAGGCCAGAGCCCAGTGGCTGCTCAGCCAGCAGTGAAGGAGGCCAGCCAACAATTTAGCAGTTCACCAGGAGTCGGGGAAAGATGGAGGCACGGACGATGCTTCAGGACCCAAATGGTGGTCACCAGCAGAGACAAGCCATCTGGGATGGGGCTGTTTGGGTAGAAGACTGCAGTGACCAGGTTTCCTACATGCTGAGTTTGAAACGACAGCAGGACATCAGTCAGAAGTGCAACTGACCCTGTGAGTGACGACAGGTTTGCAGCTGGAGCCTGAGGAAGCCACTCCCAGGCAGCCAGCCCTCACCCTACAGCAGAGCCTTTCATAGACCTCCTTTTGTCAGATCATAGTAACCCAGCGTTTCCCGTTGCTAAGTGATCATTAAACAAAAGTATTTATACAGAAAGTTCTAAAGCAGCTACTTTCAAAGATGATTGGTGAGGACATAAAAGCAATACTAACATCTTACAACTTTGAAAGTGTTTTATAAACTTTCTCACAGTCACATTTTATCATGTCCTATGTTAGTCTAAGAACTACGATATTCAAGATCAGAGTAACAGATAGTATATCAAATCTTGCAGGCTGCTGTTAAATTTTCCTACCCACTTACAAAGCACCCCTATACATACGCTACATCCTGTTGCTAGAGACCCACAAGGCTGGCAGCACACGACACGAGGCGACTTATTTCCACACGACAGCACCAAGGCCCGGGAAGGTCTGTAACTGGACTTGCCTGGGGTCCGGCACTCAGCAAGGTACAGAGGAGTTTCCGGCTTCTGTCTCCAAATCAAAGGTGCTTCATCACTTCACTTCCCTGTTAATATAAGACTACTTCAGGCAACCAAAAAAAAAAAAAAACTCACAGGAAATTACATACATACAGTCATTAAAGGTACACACCAAGTTTAGAATGGCATAAAGAGAAGCCAAACAGAACACAACATCAAGAGGGCACAGAGGCCCCTCCACGTCCCTGAGGCCGGAATCTAAAAACCCAATTTCCTTCCGTAGGGTAAGGTGTTTGTTCAAAGCTAAGACACCTGCAGGACAGGCAAAACAAATTTCTGTGACACCACTAACACCACGTGTAAAATGTGTCGATCAGGCCCTCCCCAGAGGTTCACCAAGGAAAACAATTCACTTTCAGTTTAGTTTTGTTCTTTAGGGAGAGAGAGTCTAGAACAAGTCTGTAAGTAAAGTCAGGTGGGGAATGAGATAGCAGGCAGGTGTGGCGGGTGGGGCAGGGTGCAGGTGCACAAAGGGAAACAGGTTTGGCTAAGCTAACTCTGCCTGGGGTGGGGGTGCATCCCTTTATCGGGGGAGACAGGAGTCAGAGAGGAGAGTCTGGGTGTGGGGCAGTGGCAGCGAGGGTGGAGACGCGCGGCTTCCTAGGAGCTGGGGACGGCGGGTCAGCCCTAGAAATACAAGCTCCATCTGATCTGGATGGGTGGTCGCCTTATCTGTAGGCCAGTTTCTTCAAGGTTAAAGTACATAAAAGGGCCGAGCAGGCAAATGACATCCACACACGCTGAAAGCTTGTACAAAATTAAGCACATTAAAAACACCTCTTATTCTCCCGGTAGGTTTAAACGGGCTTTTCTCCCCGGCCTGTCCTGCTCCTACTGGATCTGCACCCGGCTGAGCTGGGAGCGGGTCAGCAGCAGCTGGCTGCATGAATGAACGCAGAGGCCCGGCTACCGGCTCCCTGGGGGTGGAGACCGGCCGTCTTGCCCACCCGCTGCCCAACACCGATCACGCGGCTCACCGGGCAGCGGAGTCCGGGGCTCGCGGAGAACTGACGGAGCCGGACAGGGAGGAGGTGGGAGGGAAGGCCCGGGTGCGAGTCACCGCTTCAGCCGGGGGCGTTGCCCGGCGCTGGGTCTGCACACCCGGGGCCGCCGGCCCTGCTCCGTCGCAGCCCTTCTCCAGGGCGCAGCG